TTTTTTTGAGAGGGACTCACTATGTAGTTGAGACTGACCTGGAACTCACTATATACTCCAGGCTGGTCTCGAACTCACAGCAATCCACCTGCCTCAGCCTCCTGAGTGCTGGCATTACAGGCATAATTTCTTTGAAGAAATGATGGGCTTTTCAAGGAGCCAAAAGGATACCTGAAATACTTTGGACCCTCTATATAAGGTAATGCTGTATTAAGAATATATGCTTCAATGGCATATAAAGACGAACTGAAATAGACTCCCAACATCATACTACCACAGAAAGCAACCGGTATACATACTATGACAGCTGTTACTAAAATATAAGGTATCTACCTAGAATTTTATGTATCTACGCCATCAGCAGGTATTCATACAATGAACATTTACTGAAGCATGTACCATGTGCTGTGTTAAGTGCTAGGGTTACAAATATGTCAATCTTTATTTTCTCTACACAAAAAATGTGTAACCTTTCTCTATTTCTCAGTCACTCCAACACTAAAATCAATATCAATTCGACTCTTCCCCTTCACTAGAAATGGATAAACTAAGCATGCCTTTCTTTTTTCTTTTCCTTGTTTGTTTTTTAAATATATAGTCTCATCATGTTGCCAAAGCTGGTCTCAAATCATGGGTTTAATGATACTCCCACCTCAGCCTACCAAGTATCTGGGACTACAGGCACATACCACCATGCTCAGCTTTTGTTTCTCTTTAAAAAGTACCTCAATTTACTGAAAGTTGAAGGATTTAGACTAAGAATTTAAACCAGGCATGGTGGTGCACACCTGTAATCCCAGCTACCAAGGAGGCTGAGGCAGGAGAATGACATTTGAGTACAGCCCACGCAACTCAGGAAGACTGTCTCAAGATTAAATAAAGGCAGATCGCTTCTCGACCTTTTGGCTAATATCAAATGTAAAATTAAATAAAGGCTGAGATATATAAAGCTCAGTGGCGGAATGCCCTGGGTTGTTCAATCCCCAGTACTGGGGGTGGGGGTGTTGGACAGCTTTTTAAAAATGAAGTTTCTCATTATTCTTGCCTATGTCCAAGCATTAATTCCATTTAGTTTGCATAAATGAATGATAGTTTGCCTTTTATTGCTAGCATTTTTCAAAGTATTTTCCCTTGAAACATCCTCAAAATGTACTTAAGTCAACACTTGGGCTAGAGATTTAGCTCAGTAGAACTGTGCCAGTTTTGCAAGTGCAAGGTCCTAAGATCAATCCCCAGTACTGGGAAAAAAAATCAACACTTTCATTTATTTTCTAACACCTCTAGTATGAGTATTTATGAGTATGATGACTGAAGAATAAAGGTTTCACAGAAGGGCTGACTTCAGCGTTGTAAACTCAGCTCCTGCTCATGCTAATCTAGGGGGATGCAGCTGTACTAAATGCTGAATTATTAAAGGTCTTAATATCATGTGGAGCCAGAGGTGCCACTAATGTAGCCTTGCAATACCTCAGGGTGTAAATTATTTATAGAATGTATTGGGCAATCACAACAGCTTGAGGAGCAAAGCAAGTCCTGCAAGCTACTTGCAAAGAGGCTCTCGCTGCAGACATGCAGGGGTTCTCTTCCACACAGGCACATATGCACACCTCTGAATGGACAATTTGCTTTCTCAAGAATCTGTAACACTAAAAGGCTGAGTGGACTTCAACAACAAAACCTCTGATGGAGGGGGGCTCTGCAAAGTTAAAAGATACAAAATAGTTCAGCTAATATTTTAGGTAAGACATTGCTTCACTTAGCAAGCTGGGGATTTAGCTCACTGGTTCTGCTGCCTGCCTCGCAAGCACAAGGACCTGAGAGTTCAATCCCTCCTACCAAAAAAAAAAAAAAAACTTTAGCATGATTATTTAGCAAAATTTGCCATCTTCTGTGAACGGAAATCCCTGTCTTTTTAGAATATACCTAGCATTATTTATTTTTTAATATAATAAAGGTTGGGGGCCAGGGATTTAGCTCAGTGGTTCGGTGGCCTGCCTTGCAAGCGCAAGGACCCGA